GCAGGGGAGCAGTTAGACATCAATCAGGCTGGCATGGGAATGGTTAGGTGGTGATCAGACTGGCAGGCAGAAGCAGTTAGGGGCCATCAGGATGGCAAGCAGGAGAGCAGTTGGGAGCCTGCAGTCCTGGACTGTGATAGGGCAGTGAGACATCCTTCAAGGGGTCCCAGATTGGAGAGAGTGCAGGCTGGGGTGAGGGACACTCCCTTCCCCCCAGCCCCCGCAGCCCTTGTGTATGAATTTCGATTATTCTAGTGTTGTATATAACTGTGGTCTTGGTATAAGAAAGCATTTTGCTCAGGCTCAGGAAGAATGACTGCCACTCAGAATCTGGGGGTGAAATAAAACCCATGAAAGAGAGAATGTGGCTCTCTCCTGGGCAAACACTCAGATGACATTTTTATGGAATTATCTCTTGGGCTTATTGCCTTCATTAGCATTGTGTTGCCTCATTTTGGTCTGGTGCCTTATTTCTTATTTAAATATGTGTCCTTGTGCCCCTGACATTGGAATGGAAATAGCACCATTTGCCCAGCTGCCCAAAAATACTGTGTAAGATTTAAATGTGTTCAATGATTTCAGTTTCTGGGACCGTGGAATTACTGCCTATTTGCAGAGTGAAGGAGTTAAGCTGTCATCAGAGTGAAGGAGTTAAGCTGTCATCAGAGCCTCCTCCTGACAGCATGAAATGGGAAGGTCCGAGATGATCTCACCCATCAGATCCCGCTATGGTTTCTGGGTGCGGTAACACATCTCATAAAATGACACGTTAGGCAGGTCAGCCTCCAGAACTAAGTCTGCCATTTCCAGAAAGGATGGCTCTTTTTTTTTTTTTTTTTTTTTTTTTACTTCCTGCATTTCTGCCCTGTGTAGCTGAGGGAGGAAGCTGAGTTTAGTGGTTAGGGCAATCGACTGAGTCAGCAAGCCCAGCTTCTATATTTGGCTGTATGATTTGCTGAAAGCCTTTGTCAAACCAATTCAGAATCATGAAAGAAGTCTTTGTTCTCTCATACATAACTTTCCCAAACTTGGAGTGAAAATGACCTCCGTGGCTGAAGCTGTACTGAAACTCTGTGACATAGCGCTGGGCTTTCCCTTGTATTCCTTAGTAATGGTCTTGTCGGGGTCAATAGGCAACCAAACAACCAAGCAAGAAACGAACTAAACCTGACTCCAGGGCCCGCTGGTACACCCACCCCAGGTTGCAGGGCCATGCACAAAGACGGGAATGAGAATGGAGACCCTCAGAGCTGACCAGGTAAGTGAACTCCCTGGTCCTACTGAAACCAGCAGATGATAGAGAACACTGTCCCATCATAATAAAACATTGGCACTGTAACTGGTGTATTAGGGTTGACTCAACCAACATTTCCTTCCTTTTAGATATTTGGTTGCAAAAAGGAAAAGGTATGTTCCTTGGAGGAAATTAAGAGTTCAGGGTGACAACACACCTTCTCATTGGCTGAGCTGTGGCATTTTCCATTGGCTGGGCTTGTTGCTGAGCAAGAAGAAAATCTTCCTGCCTTTCCCTGGGGTAGTAAAATAGATCTCTTTCCTGTTGAAGATGCAAGGTACTATCTTCCTGTTTGGGATCATGGATGGTAGGATATACCAGTAAGAGCTCCTTGTACAGCCCCTCCAGACTCCAATTTTGATGTGAAAAGTTGAGGTTTCCTTTGTTGATTTTCATGGTCATGATGTGGGATAAGACTCAGTCTGGAGGTTGGGTAGGAAACAGAGCTTGTGGACCTGGCAGCTGCTGGTGAGGGATCTGGGTTTATACAAGGACCAAGGGAAACCATGGAGGGTCTCAAGCAGGAAATGACAGATGACTTTTAAAAAAATATCTTCATTTCAGTACAGCCCAAGGAATATAGTCAACATTGTAATAACAATGTAGGGTGTGAGGTGGGGGTTATTAGGCTTATTCAGAGGGATCACTGGGTTATGTGTGTCACTGGGTGTCACTGCGTTATATATAATCACTCTGCTGTACACCTGAAACTAATATGTTATTAAATGTCAACTGTAATAAAAAACAATTTAAATGAAAATTAAAAAATATCCTAGTTTCTCTTTCAGTAATAGAACACTTGATATTTGGAATAAATCTCTTACAAAAAGCAACTGAAAATACTGGACAAAATATGTGTTAGTATTTCCTCCAAATGACAAAGTGCTAATAACATAGTGACGTGTCCCGGCCTGGGTCTGGGATGCAGGGACTTGGGCCGACTGAAGGTGGGTTTGGCCCTGGGGCATTTGCTTGTGGATCTAAAAGTGGCTTAGCTGTCCTTTTGGCAACAAAGCAACAATCTGCCTTTATCTGATGGCACATGGGCTGGCTTCACCTTCTATTGTCTTAGAAAGTGCGTGGTGGCTGGAAAAGTAGTTATGAGGATGTCCTCAGATGGCTGTTAGTGGCAAAGATTAAAACACACGCCACCCCCTTGGAAGTGGGAGCTGCTGAAGTCATCAGAATATGTCCACACAGCATTTAAAAAGATTTAAAAAAAATTACTAAGAACTTGGAATACACCTCATAATGTTCTGTAAAGTGAAAAAAAATCCTGACTCTAAAATATTATGTACCTGTCCCTTTGAATCACAAGATGTGCATATGTAAAGAAAATTTAGAAAAATTATGATAGCAGCTCTCTGTTGGGATTGGGTGATGTTAATTTTTTATTAACTTGCTATTTCCTGTAATAATGAAAATGCAAAAACATTTTAATGTAAGTGGTTTTAATTGTATTTTTAATGATAAGTAGTATATTCAAAAATACTACAGGAAGGCACAGAGAAGAAAATGAATAGCCCTGGCAATCTCATTGGTGTATTAGGGTGACACTAGAACCAACATTTCCTTCCTTTCAGATGTTTACTGTAGAAGGAGCGCTTATATCCTACCACCCATGATCCCAAACAGGAAGACAGTACCTTGTACCTCCAACAGGAAGGTGATAGACTTTACTAGCCCAGCAGAAGCCCAGCCAATGGAAAACGCCACAGCTCAGGCTGAGAAGCCATTGTTGTCACCCTGATCTATTAATTTCCTCCAATGAACTTTCATTTTTCTTTTGCTAATGACTTCCTTGCCTAACCTTCTTTTCTTTTTCTTTTTTTTTTAAAAAAGTATATTTTTATTGATTTTTTTTTACAGAGAGGAAGGGAGAGGGATAGAGAGAAACATCAATGTGAAAGAAACATTGATCAGCTGCCTCCTGCACACCCCCTACTGGGGATGTGTCTGCAATCAGGATACATGCCCTTGACCAGAATCGAACCCGGGACCCTTCAGTCCACAGGCTGATGCTCTATCCACTGAGCCAAATGGTTTTGGCCTAACCTTTCTTTCTAGAAAAGCTTTCCATTTTGTATAACTTCTCTTCTTGCTGGGATAGATGTTGCCCAAATCATGAATCATTTAATAAAGCTAATTAAACCTCTAAAATTTACTCGGTTGAATTTTGGTTTTGTAGCACTTCACTTTCAATAAGTTTCTCTCACGCCGCCATGCTGTCTGTCTCCACTCAGGCCTTTTATAGTTGCCAGTCCCTCTTCCTAGCTCACAACGCCTGCCCCCAAATGTAGCTCTCACATTCTGCTCATTTTCAGGGCTCACTCCCTCTCTGAGCGGCCTCCTGACCACCCCACACAGAGGAGCTTCAACTCGACTCATTCATATCACCCTACTTGGTTTGACGTTTTCCTTGCTGCTTTTGTCACTGCAGGTCACTTGTTTGAATCATGTATGCTCCCTTGTCTCATTCTAGGATGTCAGTTCCAGGAAAAAGGACCCTGAGCCTGCTCTGCATTGTTTGCCATGTCATGTGTCACCAAAACTTAAAAAGAAAAAGAAAAAAAAAAAAAGAAGAAAAAAAAAGGCTCTTCAAAAACATTAAAATTCTCTTTTCAGACATTTTCAAAGTGCAGTGTGTAGGAGGAGGAGGAGGTGGGGGAGGAGCAGATGGGGGAGGAGCAGATGGGCTTGATCTTGGGTATTGCTCACAGCTGGTGACAGCTGACTGACAGACCAGAGATCAGGAGACCTTGATTTTCCAGTTGCTACAGGCAGAGACGCATCACACCACCCGCCTTTCACAATATTTTAAAACACGTGTCTCTGGCTTTTTACACCAGCTCACCCACTTCATTAGTTCTTCCTGCTGACCCACATCACACACGAGCACCATGGCAGGGGCTTTCTGAGAGGGGGCACTGGGCGAAGGGAGCTGGGAGGACGCAGCACCCAGACAAGAGTGTGCTGATGCCCAAAACCTTAGAGCTGAATTTCAGACAACAGCCATTCAGAAGCCGTGACTGCTGAGCAGCAGCCTCGCTGAGCTGGCACTGTTAAAACCGAGGTGCTGAAAAGCTTGTTAGGGTCATGGCACCAATTCAAATGCCAGAAATCTGAGGAAACAGTTAAAGAGATGAAGACTAAAGGAAGCACTGCGTTAGAATAGGTGCACCTATTCACACAGCAGGTGGCAAAGGCCTGTACTGCTGCAAAGATCTCCTGGAGTGGGTCACTGTGCTCCAGGGCGGAAACCCACTGTTGCCCGCACATTTTCCTTTTGTGAGCATTTGATTTATGTTAAACCATCTCTCTGGCTTGAAGTGAATTGTTTCTAGTCTGCGCCATGTTCCTCAGACAACTCAGGTCAAGTTGTGACAGACCTCGCCTGTGGGCAGACTGCTCAGCGGGAGGAAAATGAGGTGCCTTTGTTGACTGGAATTAGGCAAGGACTTCCTGGTGGAGCAGATTGTCCCACACACTTGCTCAGGGACAAGGCTGAACCCTCACTCCCACGTCAAACACGCATGTTCTGCAGTCACACACACACTCCCCCTCCACCCCGCCCACGTCTGCGCTGAGTAAAGGACTGACCGAACTTAAGAAACAGGGCTTAAAAAACCACATCGAAGCAGAATTATAAAAGGCCTTAAGTGATATTAAAAGGTGTTCAACGGGCACAAAAGAAGTCATTAATTTATTAATGAATTTATTTGACTAAATCTGTTGAGCATCTCCTGTTGGCCAGGTTGATTCCTAATTGAGTGATGCGGAGAGAGAGCGCTGTAAAAGCAAAGTCCCAACTTCATGGAGCTTCCTTCCCCATGGGAGATAAATAATAAAAAAACACAAACAAGGAAATAAACGGTCAGTCAGGACTGGTGACGAGGGCTGGCGGCAGAGGGGAATAGTGGGTCCAGGAGGGTGCAGCCTGATTCACACTGTGGTCTGGGGATGACTCACTGCTAGGGCGACTTCTGAGGACAGACCTGCAGGAAGTGAGAGCTGCGGGAGCGGGGGCTGTGTTTCCCAGGGAAGTGATCACAGGCCAAGGCGGAGGGAGAAAAGGCCCTGGGCAAAAGCACATCTGCACCATCCGTGGCCAGTGGTTGGAGGAAACATTTGTGTGAGGAGAAGAAACCACGAGGGGATGCTGAGATGTTGAAGACACGGGCAAGATCAGATCGGACCTCGGTAAAGATTTTGGCCTCTAGTCTGAGAAGCTAAAGGAGATTCTCACCAGGAGTGACACACTTTATGATGCTCGCTCTGGGAGAATGAACATGCAGACAAGGAGGCCAGCGGAGAGATGCTGGTGGGTTTTGAACCAGGGTGGTATCTGTGGAAGAGATGAGAAGTCCTCACGAATTTCTAAATATATTCTGCAGACAAAGCGGAAATCGTTTGCTAATGGATTAGCTGTGGTGTGGGAAAGAGAGATAAACGTTGAAGATGACTCAAGGTGTTTAGCCAGGGAACTGGAAAAATGACATTCCCACGGATTGACATGGAGAATACAAGAGGTGTAGGTTAGAATAAAAAATAAGAAATTTGATTTTGGAAAACAAGCGATTAGTGTCTTGTGCTGTCCCTCACTAACCATCAGTGGGATTTAGATTTACATTTTAATGAATGAAAGTTTACATCAGAGTAAAAAGTTCAATTCCCCAGTTGCACTCACAGTATTTCAAGTGCTCAATACCCACTTGCGTGTGGCTTCTGCCCAGACTGGACAGTCGGTGTCACCGAGCTTGGCGGTCCCCGGGAAAGGCCCACTGGGCGCCGGAGACAAGCAGCCTTCGCGGTGCGCTGGGCCCTGGGAACTGCTCCCTGTACACATGGCACCGAATCTCCAATCGGCTCCTCAGGTCAAGCAATGCCATCCATTCAGAAGAGGAAAGTAAGTTGCCCTAAGTCACACAGCTCTTGGAGGGCAAAAAGCCAGAATTGGATTTCAGGACAGTCTGCTTCCAAAACCCAAGCTCATAAATCATCGAGCTCTAGTTCAGGCTACACTGAAATTAGTCTACACGTGATTTAGTCTGAAATTAGACACGACATCCATGGGGACCCGCCCACCAGGCTATGGGTGGCAAGTGTGGAAGCCCAAGAAGGAACTGGGAAAGCTGAGAGAGCTTGGAGATCTGGGGCAAAGGGAGTCTCCCAGAGGGAGACCTGTGTGCTCAGAACCAGCCGGACACGTCCCCACGCTCACCAGTTCAGAGGAAAAAGCACACCCTCTGAGGCCCTAGTTCACACCTCTGCATAGGGGTCTATGGATGCTAGAGGGCTGCTTAGCAGAAAGAAGGGCTTAATTGACACCAGGTACTAATAATATAAGGTTCAGATCCTGTTCTATCCATGATTCTCAACGAGGTTTGGTGCCACTTAGAAGAGGGGTGCCATGGGTGTTTTGTGGCAATGGCTTTAAGATGCTGATCCCATGATAATGTTGCTGCAACCCTGCACAATGCAGAGAACTTCTCACCCACTGAGTCAGGGCTCCACGAGTCAGGTGGGAAACATGGCCCTCAGCAATGCCCGCCCATGACCATGAGCTGAAGGACAGAAGTGAGAACTGGTGGGAGGCAATGGCCCAAGACTTGTCAGAGAAACTGCTCCCCACTCTGCTGGTGTGGGCCACTGCCTAGACTCACTTCTCACTGAATCACGCAGAACACAATGGTGAGCACCCATGTTGGGGGGCTCTGAGCATCACAAAACTCCAAAATATTGGCCCAGGGACATAAATGTACTGTTGTCAGAGCAGGATGAGAGGATGAAATTGGAACTCTAGGATGGAGATGAAAATAACTAAGAGGAAAGTCAGATAGAGAAGCCGGTAGAGAGCAGCATGGTCCCATAAAAACATTGCAGGTTCAGCTCCCAACCACAATAAAGCAGTGACGTCCTTCCTTACACCTCCAGAGCCACCTCTGAGCTTCACTTTCAGTCTCACTTTCTGTCTGCAGCCCCTGTAGGACTGGTGAGGGCGGTGCTGTGGTGAGGCTCTGGCTTGAGGAAATGCTGGGGCTGGTTTGATCCATCCAGACCACTAACACGTCTACGCACTGGCAGCCGGGCCCCTTCCCTTTCTTATCATTCCTATCAGCACTTTCCATGTCCTTCAAGGGTGTTTCCTTTGCTTTCACAACTTGACTGTTTGGTACAAGAGGCCTCGCTTTCAGCTTATCTCAGCTTCCGACCTGCCTTCCTCCTTGCTTGCTCATTTCTAGCTTTTCATTTGAAGTGAGAGACCTGTGACTTCCTTTAATTTTAGGGGCCACAGTAGGCTCACTAATTGGCCTAATTTCAATATTTAAATTAATAGTGTATGTGGCTATTTCCCCATGGCAAGTGTCTCTGCCACAAATTTAAGATTCTTGAGTTGACACAAAGATCAAATAGCATAGGACAAGCTTAAGTAATGGGTAGTGTATCTGTTACAGAAGTAGCTCTCTGTATAATTACTAGAATGTGATTTTTATAGTTACCCTCAAGACTACCCCAGAATTTATTATTAAAACTCATCCCTAATTTCCTATAAAGTTTTTTTTTTTGTTAAAGCATACAACAGTGGTATAGCATAAACACATTTATTTACTAACAAAATGGTCGATCTTCATTAAACCAACTCAGAAACAGCTGCAGGTAAAATGGTTGTGATAACTGAACAGTGATGGGAAGAAGGCGTGGAGAGATTTGCTCATTGAACTGAGCTCGTTTATCCTCGTGGCCAATCCCCGTCTGGAAGGACGATGGAATTTTTATTCCACTTTCTCGTAGACCCGAGTGCAGTTGACATTGTTCATGACGCATTCCTGGGAGAGAGAAGGATATTGTAGAGTTAGATCTTACATCCTAGGGCAATGGTGGAAGTTAAGTGCTAGAATCAGAATCCTATGAAACCTGTCACCTGTTTCACAGATGAACATATATGTTAGGATTCCTGGGTTTGAAAGGCTAGAACCTGTTATTTTGCTTAAGATATGCATGTGTTTTGCTAAACATACTTGATCTATAATATCTAAATTACTTATTTGGTCTTGCAAACAGTATTCCTCATTTTAAAGTGTGTTGTGTTTTTAAATTGATTTTAGGGAGGGAAAAAGGGAGGTGGTCAGAGAGAAACATCAATGTGAGAGAAACATTGATTGGCTGCCTACCATGTGCATTCTGACCAGGGATTGAACCCCCAATCTGGGTATGTGCCTGACAATGCTCCAGCTAACTGAGTCCCCCCTGCCAGGGCAGTGTTCCTGTTTAAAGAAATGGAAAAGGTATGGCCCAGAGGGCAGTTTGGTGCGCTGCCTCTGATGCTGGACAGTTTCAGCGGGGCCCGGACTGGACCCAGCCCGGCAACACCACTGCCTATCACCGTTCTTTCCTGTCCACAGAGGACTTGGTGGTTTTCAGAGTTTAGTGCTTAGCTTGTCCTGGTGCACTTTCCTGCTGGCCTCGCTGCCCTGCTCAGGATCAGCGACACACAGTTCTGCGAACGATGAATGCAAAAGCGACGCTGAGCGGCCAGAGCTGCACTTACCACCACCAGCTTCCCGCCCTCCAGCCGCCGCGTGATGGTGCTCTCCTTCCCGTCCCACTCCTGGTGCTGGACCAGCGCGCCGTTCACGAAGTTGCAGACGGTCTGCAGAGACAAAGCGCACTTTTTAACTTCCCGGAGGATGTTACCGGCAGCTCCCGTGACGCATAACCTCCTCGACCAACATTTTTTTTAGCTTTTCCACTCTGGTCTGCTTCAAGCCCGCGTTACTCATAATATAGCTGATGCTTGTCAACCTAGATACACATGAGGAGACCCTCAGATGCTCATGTTCCTTCAACTAGTTTTACAAAGCAGACCAGGCTGTGGCCCTTTCACACTAGTCTATTATACACTTGATATTAACTCAAGTCATTAAAATAACTGGAGATGTCTTTTATTCAGCAGCTCCTGCCTGTCAATGGGAGAATGTTACTCATACAATCTATCATTCCAGAAGCTTCTGGGACCATGTACGTGACGCCTGACCTGACTTTTCCTGCCATCTGCTGTAGTCTCTTCAAACTTCTCTCCCAGGTTGCATGAGAACTGGGTGGTCTTCAGCGTGCTCTCGGTTTTGATGGTGAGGTGTTTGCCGTCGGAAGAGATGACACAGTCGGGCTTGGCCATGGCGCCCATTTTCCGCAGAGCCATCCCCACGCCTGTGAACGTCAATCACAGTCACCGTCAGGAGGGCCGGAGCTCCGGCTCACAGAGTGCAAGCTGTGAGCTCATTGCTACCCCTGTGCTGGCGTTATCTCCACTTACTCACTTCCAAGGACTATGGTAAACACAGACCCAGGGCTCACTCTGTGCTAGCACCAGACGCACACAGATTCATGGGAGCCTGGAGACCCCCTGTGAGCGGCGATAGCACCGTCTCCGCGCTACAGATGACAAAGCAAGCTCACACAGGTGGGAAGCGCTGAGCTGGGAGCCAGGATGCAGGCCGTGTGGCTCCAATCTCAGCTCGCGGCCCCTGTGGCTGATGGCCTCCGGAACGCGCGGGAAGCACCCGGACTTGTAAAACTGACTTCCTCAGTTCTGCTGTCCTCCTGTGCCAGGACTCCGGCACAGAACAGGCCCCTGGCAGACACGTGGTCCACACACCACACAAACAGCACCCGATGCTGGGATACTCCAACAGCCAACGTTGTAAGAGGCAGAACAACATCGTCGTGGTGGTAACAAATGGAAAAATCTTACCCTCAAACACAGAACATCTCATAGCTCTGCAACTCAACTGCTATATCGGCATCATACCTAATTTATAGCCAGTGTACTTTGTCTACAAAAAAAACTCAGACCAGCACCACCGCCCTATTTCAGATGAGAAGCACAGAAACGTGGGCTTGATGACGGGCCCTCTGCGGGGCCTGAACCGTCCCGGAAGCCCCCTCGCTGCCGGCACACGTGGTGCCCTGTGCTCGGGCTGAGTTCTCTCCATTCTTATTTGGATTCCTGCAGGGCTCTGCTTCCCCCACACCTTCACTGCATCCCAGTGAACCGGTGTGGCATCCCTCGTGCCCCCAGAACCTCGGAAACACATTGGCTTCCAATGGACAGAGGATGTGTGGCCTCAGGCAGTGCACACAGACGATGTATTTCTTGGGTCTGAGTGAGGTGCCCAGGTCACCTTGATCTGGGTTTACAAGGGGCCTGCGGTTTCCCTCCAGCCCCCTCTGTGCGCTCATCCCCATGGACACAGCCGCACACTGTCCTGCAGAGACACTGCCAAGGGAGCTTCTGGAGGCCGCAGGGACGGTCACCGGTCACCGGGGCTGGGAAGCCCACCCCATCCCGCAGTGGTCTCAGGGCTGGCAGTCCCGGCACAGGCCCAGGCCCAGGCTCCGCCACTGCATCTCGCTTCCCGCTGGCTGTGCCAAGATCCATGTTTGTTTGCTTGTCTCCCCAGTGTCTCCACCAGCGTTCAATCCTCCTCACTGCCTTAGGAAAGGGCAGGATTATTCAGTTTGAGACAGTGAACTTGAACCTCCTCCCAGGCACCCATTCCAGGCTTTAAGGAGTCTGGGGCCTACTGCAGGGCCACGCCCATCGGCATGCCTGTGGGGAGTCGCAGCGCTTCCCCGACAAAGACCATCGCCCTCCTCAAGCAGCGGTGCCCGGCCGCCCTCAGCACGTCTGGCCACCCGCCCTCAGGGGCCTCAGACACGCATGGCCACCGAGGTCAGCACTGCTGGCGCCACGCCTCTGGGGTCGGAGGGAAGGATGCCCCATGCATGCCCCAGGGAGCTGAGCCGCGCAGAGACCGGGGGTGGGAGGGGGAGCTGGGGGGATATCGAGGTTCAGACCTTCTCCAGGCGCCAGCGGGGAGAAGAGGGAGGGACCGGCGCGCCTTGGGTGAACAAAGGATGCGGCACAGTAGCGAAGGGTGGGGAAGGGGCAGTGGGTGCAGCCGCTATGGGGCGAACCAGGAGGGTGGCAGAAGGAAGGATTAGTGGTGGGGATTAAAAATATTAATAATAATAATAATAATAATAATAATAATAACGGAAAAGGGTACGTAGCCGAGCGCGGTGCCCCAGGCAGCGGGACATCCCCGGACTCCGGGGACCGCGGCGCGCACGCCCTCTCCTCTCGGCGGAGGCGGGCCGCGTGGTGCAGGCAGCGGGGACCGGGCCGCGTGGTGGGGCTGCGGGCGGGCGGGCGGGAGGGCTGCCCCGGAGCCCGGAGCGCCGAGGGGGACCCCGGACAGAGGAGCACGCGTACACACACATACACACACTGACACACATTCACAATCACACTCGCACGCCACGCTGCGGACCCGCCGCCCCGGTCCTCACCTAGCTCCTTCATGTACTCGTCGAAGCCTTTGCTCTCTACCAAGCGCCATCTCCCGACCAGCTGCTGGATGGAGGCCATGGTGGGCGCGGAGTCGTGCGGGCTGGACGCGGAGAGGAGTGAGTGAGGGATGGAGCGTGGCGGGAGCCGGCGGGAGCGCGGCCGCTTTATAGCGAGGCGCGGGGCGGGGCGGCGCCGAAGGGCCAATGGGAGGGCTCCTCGCCCATGCCGCGCCCCCGCCTCACCCAGGCCACGCCCCCGCCACGCCCCCGCGCTCCGGGTCGGAAGGTGCGGACCGGCTCCACCTGCCCCGGAGCCGGCTCCGCCCGCGGCGCCTGCAGGCGCGGCCCCGCCCGGCGCGCCCCACGTGGCCCCCGGAGGTTCCCGCTCCCTTCACCCCGGGAGCCGGAGGGGCGCCCGCCTCTCCCGGGCTAAGTCTCCCCGCCAAGTCCCTTTCCGTTTAAAACACCCAACGTGCGAATGAGCCCTCCCTCCCCGCTGGGGCGCTGCAAGGGATGGATCGCTCAGCCCTCTGTGCCTGATGGACTGATAGGTGATTTGCCTTGCTACTCTGGGCTCCTGGTCACTGCACAGCCCACATGCCAGCCCCCTGAGCACCTGTCCCTGCCCGCAGGCCGCCGGCCCACTCAGCACCTCCAGGTGAGGACAGACCTGAGTGAGCTAGTGATTTTATCAGAAGGTGCGGCAGGGCGGAGGTGTCCCCGGAAGTTCGGTTTCCAAACGAACACCCCGTAGGAAGTTTTAGCTTAAGTGCCTGTGGTTGCAATTCCATGCCCCCACGCGGGGATGTTTCCTTAGTGCGTGTTCCCAGACAAGAGGCGTCCACCCGGCCTCTCCTCCTCCCCGCGGCCCCCGCGTTACCCTGTGTCCGCAGAGAAGTCCTGCTTCTCGCGGCGTGCGTGTCCAGGAGCTGCCCCCGGTCTCCGTGGGAAGGTGGGTCAGGTGAGGAGCTGCCACGCGGGGAGGCGGCTGCCTTGATGGACATTTGGTCCCAGGCACTTTGCAGCCAGGAACGCTCCTCTCCGCCCGGGTTTTGCTGACAAGTGTTATCGCCGTTTTTTAAAGAGGAAATAAGGCAGGGAAGGCTAGGGGAGTGCAGGGCCGAACCCCTGTCTAGTCCTCACCGCAGATCTCCTGAAGTAGGACCACACCAGGCGGCCTCTGGCTGCAGCCCCTGGCTCCCCCACTCCCCCACCCCCTCCGTCATCTCCCAGCATGCCTCAGGGCATTTTCTGCCCTCCCAGGACTCCCTTTCATTTTAAGTCCCTGCCCTAAGTTTAGGTCAACCCAGGGCTGTGCTCTGCTGCTCTGAGGGCAGCTGAGGATCATTGCTCAGTGTTGCTAGAACTGGCTTCCAGATGCCTGGGGGATAGTGGCTGCCCCCCTTCCCCCACCACACACACACAGGCAGCCACTGTGGGCTTGTAGTTACATTCTTAATGTGCCCATCCAACATTTTACCTGTTTTTGTATAGAATCCTATATAATAAAGAGATAGTATGCAAATTAACCCTCACACCCTCACTAGATGGCTTCCTATGACCAGGCAAGCAGGGGGGTTAGTGATAGTGAGGAAGACCAAACCACTGCAGATTGGGTGGGTTAACCAGGCCAGCGGGAGGATTAGTGAGGGATGACCAAACAACTGAATAACAGGCTATATGGGGTGACCAGGCTGGGGGGGGGGGGGGGGGGAAGGCAGTTAGGAGCCACCAGGCTGGGAGGAAGAAGGCAGTTGGGGGCAACCTGGCCAGCACAGGGGGGCAGTTAAGGGCAATCAGGTCAGCATGCAGAGACAATTAGGGCCGACTAGGCAGGTGACTGATTAGGATCCAGTGGTCCAGGATTGTAAGAGGGATGTCCGGATTGGAGAGGGTGCAGGTTGGGCTGGGGGGACTCCCCACCCCCATGCATGAATTTTGTGCACTGGGCCTCTAGTAAGGTAATAACAGCCAGGACTCAGCACTGAAATACTAAAATTTAAAGACCCATAACCCATCATGCCCCAGAAATACCAAAAGGGAAATGTCACTATAATGCTAAATATTCAGGTGCCTAAGAAATAGTTTTTAAGCCAGAGGCATAACCCGAAAATGAACTTTTAAACACACTTTTTGGTGTGATACGTGGAAAAACACACCAACAAACAAACATAGAGGCCAACATGCCTGTGAGTGTCGCCCTGGGACAGAGGGCCCGGGAGGCTTTGCCTCTGTGGGCCCCGCGCCCAGCCACGCCGGGGGCAGATCCTGTCTCATGCAAACTCCGGTTCCCTTTCTTCCTTAAGAGCAATGGCAGTGGATGCCACGCTCCGAAAAACAGCCAGCACTTCCTTGACCTGCTAACAGAGTCCTGGTCCCGGCCACTCACCTTGAGCCCCGTGTGAGGCATCAGAACGCACATGTGAAGACAAAGCAGGTGGCTGTCCTGCACGGCTGAGGGGTGCTCCAGTGTCTCTTCTTTGGGGAAAGGGGGAGCACTGTCACCTGACTGAGATGAACTGCATCACAACCCCGGGCCCAAGGAGCGCCCAGTGTCCTGCCTGTCCTCACACACAGCCCGGGCGCCTGGGTGCCAGGCCCTGCCTACTTCCCGCTGCGGGACAGGAACGCATTCTCTTTGGGTGAGAGCGGTTGGAAATCAGGGATTGCCAGTAAATCTTCCCCTGGTCTCTCTAGAAAGCTTCCATTTATAAGAAGATGCCGTTTTACTTAATATCACCGAGCCTGAGTTTTCTTGCCTGTGAAATAAAGGTGTTAAGAATTACACTGACTGATTTCTTAGGTCCATGCCCCAGGTCCCTACAAATATGCTCAGAATCGCTCTATTTCCACCTAGTGGCAAAAGGGAACATTCCCTGTAGGTTTGCTTTGATAAACGTCGGGAGCTTGTCCGCTTCACTCCACACAGTCGCACACACAGCTTTGGTGCGGATTGTGTGTTTTGTTTAAAGGCAACTTCCTAGGAACAGTCTGTGTGGGTAAGTGAGCCTTTGGCGCAGCTGGTTATGGGATGTCATCAGTCACTGAAGACAGCAGGCGTGCAGCTGGTAGAGCAACACACTGCAGCCCATTCAGCAAATCACTGCAGCTCATCCAGCAAATCTTCTCTCAGGACATGGCTGCACTAGTCCAAAAAGGGAGAAAAATGAAAACGGACACAATAAAGCCATACTTCTCTGATGTCAGTATGCAAAACAATCGCCAGGGATCTTGTTAAAGCGTGGGCTCTGACTCCGCACATCCAGAGGAAGGCGCAAGATCAGCATCTCTAACGCTCTCCCAGGGACGCCAGTGGGCCCACTGGGGCCGTGCTCCTCTCCGGTGGACCAGTATTTCCGGGTTCTCCTCCAATGTGATGTATATAGAAAAGCAGGAAGTCTGACAAATGCACTGCAAACACTATCTGACCCAATACATAAACTTTTAAAACATCAGCGTTAGGTAGGTATTTTTCTGTCCGCTCATCTTTCCGGGAGCCTGGTTGGAGGCTTCGAATGGGATGGGGAGGGTTATTGAAACCTAGCCTCTCCCTTAAATTTTATAACCAGGTTTTGGATCTTGACTCGTTCTGGCTTGTCTTGCTCTAGACATGCTTAGTATCCAGCTTGAAAATGGATCTTCTTTAAAAAATCCCCACCTGGGATCAGTTCCAAAAGAACCTTCTATTGATAGTAAGCAGCTGGAGCCCAGATCTGCAGCTGAAGGGCTGCCTGCAGCAGCAGGAGCCCCCGGGGAGACCAGGGCAGGGCCGCACCCTGAATTCACTTCTAAATCCGGCAAGGCCCGCAGCCAGCACGAGGCCTTGGCAATAGCCACCAGCCATGGAGGGGAGCTTGCTTCGAGTCGTTGTGGGTAATAAAATGATTCCTCATGAAAGGACTTGTAGAAATGGGGCTGTTTTATGAACTTTGTTCTTTTCTTTAAAGCAGTTGATTCTTACACAACAGGACAGTCGCCTAAATAATCCCTCCTAAATACCCGCTTGCTAAATGACCTGGACCAGAGGCTAGCTACAGGGGAAATGAGATGTTGCGAAAGTTACAGTAAGACGTGATTGGTTTCGCAAGAAGCCAGAAGACAGGAGGCTAGGCTGTGTAAGATCAATTCATTGCCCTCTCATGGATCTCCCCACTGTCCGATTTCTGTGTTGTTATTAAATTTGCCGTTGGCTCATGGAAACACATTGCAGAAGCATGTAGTATGGGCTGGCCTGTTCATGCCTCCTGTGGACAAGCTCAAGGTGTCTCAGGTCTAAAAACACAACAACACGACACCAAGAGGCACCTTGAAATGGAGCAGGATGAATTCTTAAAGGGTACCTTTGCCCTAAAAACACGGTAAAAGCTAAAAGCCTGCAAACTCGATGTTTCCACTGGAAGAAACCAAATTCTTTTCGTCCGGATGGAACGTTCCCATTTTCAGCCTCCCGTCCATGCAAGAGTCCATGACTTAGCATTCTTCCCCCTGGATTTCTAGCACCACTTGATCACTTTTCTTTACTGATGTTTAGCCACAAGAATGAATGAATTTCCCAATCAAATCTACAAAGCCATAGGCTTGCTTGCTTCCGAGCTTTCTATCCTGATGGCTGGGCCCACAGCTTCCTTTTGCCTGCATGAGCTTGCAAGAAGCGTCCTCCGAGTGTAACCACCTGCCTAAAGCCAATGTGAGACGTGGCTACTCCGATCTCTGTCCTCTGGAGCAGGGGGTGGGCCCTGTGATCCTCAGAGGCGGGCACGGGGCTCCGAAGGCGGTGTGGGGTGTTCTGTGTGCTCCCTCCCTCCCTACCTTCTGTCCACCCACCGCAGGCACCACAGCTCACATCCCCTTCCCCTGCTCACGTCTGCACTGAGCAAGCGCAAAGGGAGACATCCACAGCATGAGTGAGGCTTTGTTTTCCCCCCTTGCATGGTTCCCCACACGCCCCTGCCTCTTGGATTCCTGAATTCCTCCGCTGACAGCAATAATTTCTCAATTATGTGACTCCTTGCTAATGACGAGAAACCAGTGTGAGGCTCCAATAAAGCACGTCTGTCTTCTAGGTTGGCTAAACGCTGGGTGTGACTAGAGAGCGACCGTGGCCTTGAGGCGGGTCTATCTCAGAAGTGGGATGGAAGTATTTGTGCCAAAGTCCCAATGTGTCACCT